CACATGCATGTGAGTGGGGGCGGGGGAGAGGGGCAGAAGAGAATCTCAAGCTGACTCCACACCCAGTGCGGAGCCCAACGCAGGACTTGATCCCATGACCCTGAGATCATGAATTGAGCCAAAATCAAGAGTTGGATGCCTAACCGCCTGAGCCACCCAGGTGCCCCTATAAACTTTTGGTTTTTAAACTTTCAAATTTAACACTTTAAATTAACAAGCATGATTTATCTCTGTCATCAGTCAACTATCATCACCCTTGTCATCAGAGTGTTTAAAGTAAGCAGCTTCACTTTAAACAGGGATGGACCAGATGCAGGTCAAACACTCACTACATAGCCCTCGGGCTATCCTCTACCAGAGACGAACAGCCCAAGCGAGCTGACCAGAAGTTGGAGCAAGAAGACGGCATCAATCTTCATGGCAACATGGACGAGGCAGAACAGGAAGAAGAAATTCAGGTCATAGAAATAGAGAGCATGGCTTCGCAAACCAGAGTTAACACTAATGGAGAAGGTATTTGTACAGACAAAGACGAGATGAGGTGGAGGAAGGAGAAGTCCAGAATGACTGGTGAAGGGCAGGCACTGAGCTTTCCATGTTTGCTCTGTGAGTGGGGTAAGGAGACTGAGGAGAGAACTCAGAGGGTAGAACAGATAGACATGATTGTTCAAGAAGCCATGGTCATAGCTGGTAGAGAAGATTTACATACTCACACATACCCCACAACCAAGTTCTATAAGTCACCATCATTCGAATAAATTCACATAATGTCATATATTGGGCTTTTGTAAGTGTGTACACCAATTATTCAAATGGGATGAACAAATCATCCTGTGGTTTTGTAACATGCATCTTTAAAGAACCCCCTCATGTGACCCCTTTCTGCAAGAACAAGAGGATTTGCAGTGTCTAAAACACAAGACACTTGAGCAATCATTCAGAAACCTGCTCACACCTTCCTCACAGCTCTGGCCGATAGGATTCATGCCAGACGGAGTCCAACAGGGCTGACAAGATAAGAAAAAGAAGAAGAGAGTCCATGCCACTCCTGCAAGCTGAAGGAAGAGACCCCAACAGGGCGGAGAGATACAAGGGAAGAGCAGTGAGACCAAGCCTGTGCTGGTGCATGGAGCTCGAGGAAATGAGCCGGTCCCCTCCCCTCTTCCCCCCACTGCCACCCACACCCCCCCCACTGCCATGCCCAGAGCTGCAGGGACAAGGGCTACTGGGAAAAGTGACTCGCCACCAACCAGAGCTGCCATTCAGATTATCTGCCCACTCTTATGACTTTCCTTTGGGTGCAGACATTTGAAACCTCTGCTTGGTTTTCTCCCTTCACAGTTCCCTCTTGCACATGGTGTCCTATGACAACAGGATCTCAAAACTTAATGTCATGTTTCGCCATTGAAGGACCAGACTCCTTGTTTGAGGTGACTTCCAGAGCTCTCCCTGCTCCAACGTGAATTTTGGGAATGCTACCCAGCTTCCATTTTAATTCAGAACTCAGAACCTCCCAAACATGTCCTCCACATCAGGAGACAAATCGTGTACTGTTTCTGCATGAGGTAGTATCAGGCAAAAAGAAACACTTTCCTAGCATAGACAGGCCAACCGAAGCAAATAATGCCCTCACAAATGCAAAGAACTTAATGACTTACGGAATAGTTTCACACACATAATTCTATTCCATTCTTCAGGTCACCAATCTTCCTAACCCTCCAACTCCCAACCCCAGCTTAAAACACTTGAATGGTTTTCCATTCCTCCCTGGTGTAAAGACCAAAATCTTTATCATAGCATCTGATCTCTATGACTCACTTTAACTCACAAACACCCTCCTCTGCACTCCAGCCACACAGACCTTCTATTAGCTCCTCAAATGGGCCACAGGACTTTTGCACATGCTTCTCCGTCTATGTTAAATGTTCCTTTCCACCACCACTACATCCTCCCCTCCCCCCCATTATACCAGTTAATCCTCACCCTTCCTTTGGTTTTTAGCTCCACTGTTAATTCCTTAGGGAAGCTTTTCCCAATCTCCCTGACTAGGTCAAGTCCCTTTAAGATAGCTGTACATATGTTCCTTTCATAGCACTTAACCCAATTATAATTATACAATTATACAATTCGAATCCAATTATACTTATTTGTATGACTATTTGGATACTTTTTGTCTCTACCAGGAGGTTATAAAATCTATAAATTCTATAAGGTTATAAATTCTATTTTTGCTCATCAGTCTATCTATAGTGCTAGCTCAGTTCATGACACAAATACTCTACAATATTGAATGAATAAATGAATGAATGAATGAGTGAATAATGACCTGTGGAGAGAAGATATTATATCCACATTAGAGAAATACAGAAATTGAGTCTCCAAGAGTTTAAGGGATTTGCTCAAGGAGCACAGGCATGGGGATTTGATTCTAAGGTATTTGATTCCTGATTTCATAGTCAGGAAATGCATCATTCCAAGGACTGGGGAGTCCTGCATGGCACATAATAGGTATCCAGTGCAGACTTGCTGAATGAAGAAATGAAAACAAAAATGAAAGTAGGAAAGAATCAATTGTGGACTTCAACATGATTTTCAGGGCAAAGAGAACAGTCTTGGCTGTGACATTGGACAGGTCATATCACCTCTCTAGGCCGTAGCTGAGCTTTGAACTAGATGATACCCATGCTCTGCAAATCTGAGGTTCATACTCCTCCTACCTTGGGATTCTAACAGCAGACACCTACATATGGTGGCTGAGTGACTTCTCTGCCCAGACTCGACTTTATGCTTTGGAACATTTTTAATGCATTCAAAGAGCAATTATCACTATGCAACAAGAGGCAATTGCAGGAGCAGTTACATCAAGGATAACATATGGCAGCTACAAAAACAATAGAAAGTTATTGCAGTGTCTTAAGCATAGCAGATGGAGGAGAGTTGTTATAACCTTGACAGTTGACCCTGGGACTTCTAGATATGTTATATAGTCATACGCACGGAAGCAAAGAACATCTGGCAAAAGGATAACATGTTTTAGCTTTCCATTGGCATTGTTAAATGATTCAGAAACTAATAAAAGGGAACCATGAATGGTCTCAGTCATCCAGCCAAGAGTTAAGCAGAAACGATAAGGAAAAAGGGTCCTTCTTCTCCCAACAAATGTGGAATTCTCTAACTAGTCATAGATAATATGCTTGTATCCTGATTGTCTCTGAACCAAATGTCCCACAAAGTGACTCACAATCTGGAATTAGCTCACCTTTTCAGGTTCATCCCTCACCCCTCTTCGACAGTCACCCATACTCTGGCCTCACAGGTCACTGTGTTTTCATGACTCCATGAGAAATACCCTGGCTCCTTCAGATCCAGTTCAAACATCATTTTCTCTATGAAGCCTTCCACAATGCTTCCAAGCATCCCAAGCACCACCTCCTCCAAATCCCCACAGCATTTATTTATGCCCAGGTGGTAGCATTGATGGCCATCTGATTTATGTTATGATTACTTGTCTGTCTGTCTCTGTCCCCTGCCCCAATCACCCCACTAGTTGGTAAGACCCTTCAAGATAGGGACCATGCCTTATTCATACCCCCAGCACAGACCTGCATATCTAACATTTAGAAAAGTCTATTGAGTGAAACACCGGGGGGGCAACTAATCAGTAGATGAATTAATCATTAATGGATGAATGACTCCTATTATGTCAACCCATATAATAAAGTTTATTTTATCAGGGAATTTCTAGTGACCTCACTTGAAACCCAAAGAAGTAACTCCAATGTTAAGAAGGTCAAGCACTTTGATAAGCCAATAATGGCATTCTTTGCATGTATTACCTCATTTAATCTTGAAACAATCCTATGAGGTATTATTATTCCCAGTTTCAAATGGAATAGTTGAGGTGTAAGTAGGTAAGTTACTTTCCCTAGGCCTCAGGGTTAGTAAGTGGCAGGATAGGATTTGAACTCAAGTCCTAAGACCTACACCTAACACCGGAACACCTCACCACCAGGCTGTCTCCCATCTAATTATAGTGCCAGTCCTGGTCATTGTCTTTCATGTTTTCATTCACCTCTTATTACTTTTTTTTTTTTTTAAAGATTTTATTTATCCGTTTGCGAGAGAGAGAATGAAAGACAGAGAGCATGAGAGGGGGAGGGTCAGAGGCAGAAGCAGGCTCCCTGCCAAGCAGGGAGCCCGACGCGGGACTCGATCCCGGGACTCCAGGATCATGACCTGAGCCGAAGGCAGTTGCTTAACCGACTGAGCCACCCAGGTGCCCCCCATCTCTTATTACTTTTAATGTGAATTTTACTTCCATAGAAACTTTCACGTAAGGATTTCATAATTCTATCTGATAGGCCCCTACTGCCTTTACTAACACTTATTATCAACATTTTGAGGACTCACCTTATCCCTCAATTTTAAAGTAAGAAAATTGAGACATAGAGCAGTTAAGTAACTTGGTCGAAGTCACGTAACTCATTACGATGAGAACCTAGAGTGACCCCAACCCACACTTAACTGCAGTGCCCATGCGCCATCTTGAGCTTCCATTGGGCATCCTACATCACTTGGAAGTTCGCACATCAAGGCATCTGGCACCATTACCCATCCAGTCAATTCCTGAATCAGTCCAATTGCAGGGACAAAATTCACACATGAATGCAAATGCCTTCTTTTTGAAGAAAACAAAATCCACATTTTCTTACATATAAAACGGAACTCAAATCCATGCCAAGCTGTAGTTTTGCCTCATCTGCTTCCTTGACGTGCCCTCAATTCTGCTTCCATCACTAGTTTTCCAGGTGAGGAAGTGGGTTCCGGGAGGCTGAGAACCTTGTCCCAGAGTCCATGGCTGGATCCCAAGTCTGGACTCTTAACTACTCAACAGATTCTCAGTACCTGCTGCCACTATTCTAGTCTCTTCTCCCATCACCCCCTCTTCAGGATTCAGGAAAGTTATCCAGACAGAATGAAAAACAAAGTAAACAGAGTACCTGAGAAGGCCCAGTTCAGCTCCATTCAAATCTTCCATTTTTAGGACGACCATTTCTTTGTCGGTATTTGAAGAATACCTAGTCAGCAAAACAAAGAAACTCAGTCACTTCTATGTCAGAGCCTGGCCCTCCTGTGTGACCAGGAGTAGAAGCTGACTCAAAAACCCAAACCAAACACCTTTCCGTAAGCGAGGCGCCCTGACATGGTATATCGTCTTATAAACCACATCCGGGACCTCATTCCTCTGCAAATGCTGTCAGAGTCAGAGGCATCAGGCCAGCCAACTGGAGATGAAATATACATCTCTATGTCATACGCACAATCTTCTATAACATATTCGTATTTCCTACAAAAAAGATTCGCCTTTGAAATTTCTACTTGTATTAAATTTTAATGGAATCTCTTAAAAATAGCAGGGAATATGCAAAATCAAAAACATTCATGACCTGCCGCATAAAGTGGTTCTTTCATGTCCTTTCAAGGGAAATCAGGTTGTTTTCTAAAAATCAACTCCTTTGGAATCTACTAAAAAATACAGAGACAAATGTAAAATGTCAAGTGGTCAAATTGAAACTGAGATACTCGTTTACTATGCCATACTAGTCAAGTGCTTCTCTTCTGTTGCAAACCTGGTTTGGCACTTAAACAAACAAACAAACAAAAAACAACAAAAACTATCTCCCTTAGTTGTTCCATTCAATTATGCTCATTTTATTTCTTGCTCTTCGTTCCAGTTTCTTTAACCTTTTATGTCCTTTCTCTTGCCACATTCTCCCGGACAGAGATGATTTCTTCTGAATGACATAATAAAAAGAGCTATTCATTAATTTAACAAATACATGTGGTGCACATTTTTATCTCCACTTTACAGAAGAAGCTGAGAGCCAATAGATTACGAACAAGTGAATCACCAAAGGTCACACGACTAGGAAGTGATCAAGCTAAGATATGACCAGAGTCGTGCCTGATTCCAAAGCTGAGAGTTCTTCCACCATTCGAACTCACCCCCTAAGCTGGCAAAGAGGCCAGACTTGTGTGCGGGATGGTGCGTGCTCCCACACTCACTTTGGACTTCTGCCACTCTTAAACTCTAAGCATGTTTTACATTTATCTTAGCTTTTAATACTCCTTCAGGATCCTGCCATGTTCCTCGAGGAACAGCTGTGTTCTTAGATTTTGTCGCCGATGGCTAAAGGAAACACATGATCTGATTCCGACAATCCCCCTCACCTGGCCCTCTCTGACTCAGGATTCTGAAGATAAGAAGTGGGGCTTCGGTTGATCTGGGCACCTTCCACAATTCCTTTGTTGATAAAGATTTTGCCTGGTTTCATGTTTTTGTGCGCCATCTCGATGCTCTGTGGGTTAACGAGAGAGAGCACGAGCAAGTTGTGAATTTAGAAATCCTGGTGGGATACAGACTTAGTTGATATAAACAGAAGGGCTCTGTGGACAGTTTCCTTTGTCTCCAAGCTGCCCCTGCCAGGGGATGAGAGCTGGAGAACCGCGTGGCCAGGGTCACTCTCGGGGTGCACAGAGGGCCTCAGGGCTGAGACACTGAATTGCCATGAACTGGGAAACTTGCGCCGATGGGCACCTGAGTGTCCTGGGGCCCCTGCGTCAGGCACCATCCTCAGGTTCAGGCGGCCAAACTGGGAGTGACTCCCCCAACACTGGACCAGGATTTGTTAACATGTAGGGCATTCCCCCCTCCATACCCACTCCGTCCCCCCACCCTCTGAGGCAAAGTTTTTTGAACTTTTCTAACTCAAAACCACAATAAGCAATACATTCTTCATCACAACTTAATATGCATCGACGTCTGTGTCCTAAAACAAAAGTCCACAAGATGAACTACACCCTTACTATGTGTTTGGCAGCATGATATTCTCCAATCTGTTTTGTTTTAGTTCTGTTTTTTCAATGCGTATTGCAACCCATGAGATTGATTTCACGCAGCCAGTCATGAATTGCCAGGCAGAGTCTGGAAAACATTGTTGTAAAGACATGTCTGCCTTTGCCGACTAGATCGCCGGGCTCGGGAGTGGCTTCATGAGAAAAAGCAGAGAGACACTACATCTCGAAGGCAAAGGCATGAAGAGAACGTCAGAAAGGATCCCGTGGGAGTAAATAATAAGCTGAGAGATGAGAAGAGAGGAATAAGAGGCACCCAAGCCAGGGACGGGAGGGGGGCTTGGGGTTCTGGAAGGAGCTCTGTGCTGTCTGCAGCTACCATTGAGGACGTGAGCAATGAGGGTCCGTGTAGCAACAGGATCCTCTGTCATGCTATTTGGGAAATAGGAGGCAAGATTGCAATTATTTGTAATTACTTTTGTTTCCTTGATGGGTTCCTTTTCTAGTGACTTAGCGTGGAGAACAGACCATGTGGGGCCCTCTCGGTTATAAAGGTTTTAAGTGTCCCTTTAGACAACTGCATGAGGCTTCCTGCAGAGAACTGTCCTCTCTCCATCAGTCAGTGCCTCGGAGACCAGAAGCTACATGGGAGTCAGGAACGGAAGCGAGGAAGGAGCGAAGATGCTCGAACCGAGATCCTAGAAGGACTCTCTCCATATCACAGCAAACCGATCCTAAACACTTGTAGGTGAGGGAAAGAACAGCTCCATCTGGGGCTCTGTGCCTACCTTCATGATGCCAGTGACCATGTATTCAAAAGTTCGATTGCTAAACCCTTCACTGGCGATGACAAACATGGTATACTGGAAAAATCCCGCTGGTCCCGAGTGAGTGTGAGTGCCGCTCAGGATGACGTTGTCTCTTCTGTACAGGGAACCATATTTACTCTGCAGTCTGTTCAAGACCTTCAGGAGAAAAGAAAAAAAAAGTTAGAACTAAAAAGGATAACAGAGCAACTCACTCTGGAAAAGGCTCGGGTGAGGCTAATCGCTGATCATATCAATGACGCCCTTCACTCTATGCTTGAGGGTGTCGTCATAGTAACAACATCAACACCAACAGTCTCCACCAAGGCTAACATTTTGTGGATCCTTGCTAGGTCCGAGCACAGGGTTAGGTATTACATGCTTTATGTTATTTTAAAATCTTTATAACAACCCCAAGAGGTAGGTATTTTTAATCTTCTAGCTGAGAACACTGAAGCGAGCAGAAGATAAAGAATGCGCCCACTGATCTAATAAATAGCAGAGCCAAACCCAGATCCGTGTCTCCATAGAACAAGTACGCTTTCCGATTCATTATCCCACACGGAGTATTAGCGCCCGGGCACTGATCTAAGCACTAGGAATATGTGAGGTTCCTACCCTGATGAAGCTTTTATTCTAATGGGGGAGAAATAAGCAAACAAATGAGTGCGTAATGTTATATTATATCATGCAGTGGTGAACGCTATGAAGAAAAATGTTTCTGGGTAGGGAAAAAGAGAGTGATGGGTGTCAGGGAGGAAAACACCTTCTCAAAGATGTTCCCTTTCATCAGAGGCTTAAAATGAAGAGCCCAAGCTGGTCATGCAATATACGGGGGAAGGCATCCCAGGGGCAGTGAACAGAATGTGTAAAGGTCTCTTTATTTCCTCGCAGCCCAGAATGAAGAACTTGACATTGCCTGACACATAGCATCACACTTACTGGTCTGGGGGAAGCCAGCTGCCGTGACCTCAGGACACCCCGGCAGCCCTGTGGGGATGCCCGTGTGGAAACAAGCACAGTGGATGCGCCACCTCAGGCGTCGCAGACCCTTTACCTCGGGCAAGCCTTCCAACCAGCCAGCACATGATTCCAGCCTCACGGCACAGCAGCGTGTCTCACCTCAGTCGGAATCACCCAGCCCACCCCCCTGGGATTCCCGAGCCTCAGAAAGGACAGGCCGAGCTTTGCTTTAAGCCCCTGAGTTTTCCAGATGACTTGTTGTGGAGCAAGAGATCACACACACACACACACACACACACACACACACACACACCCGGGGAGTGTTCACTGTCCATGTCACAGTCCGTGAACATCTCATCATACATGATACCTGTGCTCATGGGGCACAGACACGTCGAGAAAACGACAGGGAGAAATGCCCAATGGTGCTGAGCACTAGTTTCTGATTCTGCTTTAATCAGCTTCAATCTGAAAGTTGGTATTATCGTAGCTTCCTTGGGAAAGATGGTTTGGCTTTTTTTATGCCAAAAATCATTAAAATGGGGCACCTGGGTGGCTCAGTCGTTAAGCGACTGCCTTCGGCTCAGGTCATGATCCTGGAGTCCTGGGATCGAGTCCCGCATCGGGCTCCCTGCTCGGCAGGGAGCCTGCTTCTCCCTCTGACCCTCCTCCCTCTTGTGCTCTCTGTCTCTCATTCTCTCTCTCGCAAATAAATAAATAAAATCTTAAAAAAAAAATCATTAAAATGACCTCACGGGGTGACTCTTGGTTTCAGCTCAGGTCATGATCTCAGGGTCCTGGGATCAAGCCCTGTGTCTGGCTCCAAGTTCAGCAGGGAGCCTGCTTGAAGATAATCTGCTGGCTCGCTCTCTCTCAAATAAATAAATAATTCTTAAAAAAAAAAAAGTGTCAAACGCAGAGCAACCTTCCTTGATGAAAGATACTATCACCGGGCACAATGATGAAAGCTCATTTATGGCAGGGATGGCGAATACCGCTTACTCACGTACCCAGTCCTACTTATTGGTAGTTGCTCTCAGATGCAGGGTGTTGAGAAGGATTCTGAATCTAAACCTGGGCTTAGCAAAAAAGAGGGCCTTTTTTGATTAGCAACACTGTCTACCTTGAGTATACCACAGGCAGCAGTATGTGGATAAACTGTCATGCACACGGAAACCAAAGCCCCCAGTTTGAATTGCTTGCCAGTCTCTGGGGTGTAAATACTCCCACCACAGTCAATTTCAAGCTACCAAAATCTAACAAGGAGCTCACAAAGCTCCTGAACATTTAACAATCAGCCCTCATGAGCTGGTCCAAGCCAGTTCCAACACACTCGTGATACATAAGGGAGTAGCAGGAACTTACATACCATATGCCCGACACGCAATAATACATCCATTTCAACCTCTTCTATTTTAGGTGAAGAGCTACACCACCCTCATCTACTCATGTGGCCATTGAATGGGGAAGACGCTTACAAACCATCTTGCCTTGTTAACCAATCCATGCCCCAAACATGATAGCTAGGTTACCATGTCTGTTTACACAATCCTTTGATGCCAGGCAAATGTGGAAAGGAAATAGGACATGACCAGACTAACACCCTCTAACCAAGTAGCCCACATTCTCCATCCCAAGAAGTTTCCATGTTGCTTCTGTGTGACCTAACTCCAGCCCACATGTTTCATCACTCTTATATGTTCTTCCACACAGTGATGACAACAGTCGTGAGGAAGATGCCTCTGTAAGGAGCAGGTAGAATGATCACTGAAGGGATACCACAAAACTCAACTCAAAGCTCTGTCAAAAGCTAATGTTCTCACAGTTCTGTCACCAAGACAAGAAGGTAGTGGGAAAAAAAAGAACTTCCGGTCAACTTTAGAGGTCCCCTGGCCCTACCCCCATTTTTATTCCCAGAGAACTATAATGTTAGGATTTTAGAATTCAGTGTACTTCTTTGGGTTTACTCAAGAATCAAGTCCTCAAATAGATGTGAATTATGGCTCTCACATTTTGTATCCTAACTACAGATGTTGTATCCTAAACTACGATATTGTATCCTAACAGATATTGTATTCTAAACTACACTCTCCAACGTGAAGTCCGACACATGGGACTTCAAGAAGAAGGAAAGAAAAACTCAATCGTCCAAGGACAATGCCTGCGACTAGCCATTATAATTAGCGTGTTCCCTACATCATGAGAGGAGAGTGTTTGAACAGAGTGAAGAAGTTGAATGTCTAGTGAACAGAGCTGAATGTCTACAGCTCACCCCTCTGTGTTCCATTTCCTATTACTGATGCACCTGAGAACCTGCCATGGAAAGAGCTGGAAAGCCACTCTGTTCTCCTGTCCTGCCTCACTGCTCAGAGATCTTCCCGAACCTTCACTCCATGCTGGAAATTTCATCAATCCTTAAAGCTTAGACTGAGAAGCTGCCTAAAACCAGGTGTTCTAAAAAAGCATAAGAGCGCCTGTTTAGCTACATTTATTTTTCACACCTTCTCTTGGATTAACCTGGGATAGGGAAGTGGGTTCATTTAAAGGCCTTCCCGCTGGGTCTCAGATCGCACGGGGAAGTAAAAATAGGAAGAGATGGAGAAATAGTGGACTGTTGACTTCACAGCCTCTGAAGCCCAACACATTAATCCTCTCTCCCCTCCACACTCCACCCCCAAAGTTCACCTTTGACTCTCCCATTTCTTCTCATGACCCCACCATTTCCCCCATCAGAAGCATGGCCGATGCTCTGGGAGAGTAGTAAGCGTAGTGAGCGTAGGTGCCGGGACCCAGATGCCTGTGTGTGCACCCAGCCCAGGCGCTTCCTGGCTGGCTAGCCGTGTGCAAGTTACTCAATCCCCTGCAACTCGCTTTCCCAATCCGTCAAATGACATAATAATAGCACCTTCCTCCTTCAGTTGTTTGGAGGATTAAATCCATTAATATAGATGAAGCAATTAGTGTGTGACTCAACGTGGGAACTATGCAAGTGTGAGCTTTTATTTCTATTCATTCCCAAATCTCATTAGCATTTAATGTGACCTCCTACTACCATGTAGTCTCGCTGCCACCCCACTGCTTTAAAACCTTTGTGCCAGGCTCACGTGGCATAGGAGAAATTTCCAGGCAAAGTTGAAATCCTTCCTGCCACCCTAGTTTCCCTTTCTAGTTCATTCAGCCTTCCAACGCATTGCAAAACCTCCGTGTATTAAATCTCCTCTGTTTGAAATACCGGGTGTGAGTACCGTTTTCCCAACCGGACCCTCACCGCTAGGGTCTTGACATTAATTTAACAAAGCTGCCAATGTGAGTCCTCACCTCCAGTCTCAGTTTGCATCAAACATCACTGATTAATCATCCTAAAGCAAAATTGGCTTTGTATTACTCCTCCACTCAAAGGTTTTCAAAGAATCCCCATCACTTACAGAAGTAAAAATAAACTGGCATCCCAGGCCCTCTACAATTATGACTAACATACCTTCCAGGTGTATTCCCAATTACAGGCCCATGTGTGTCCTAATAGCAAGAATCCCTGTCCCTTCAAAGGACAGTCTACATTCCTCCCTTGTGTCTCTCTGTGGTCACACCACCTCCTCCGTTTGATAGCTCTCTCTCCCCATGTTAACCATTTAAAATTCTTCCCATTCAGATAAAGAGGATGTGGTGTGTATATATATATATATACATATAATATAAATATGTAATATTCTATTATATACATGTATATAATACACCATTATATGTGTGTATATATACATATGCATATGTATATATGTATATATATACACCATATATTCCATTATATTTATAATATCCCATTACACATATATAATGGAATATTACCCAGCCGTAAGAAAATGCAATCTTGCCATCTGCAACAATATGGATGGATCTAGAGAGTATAATACTCAGCGAAATAAGTCAGAGAAAGACGGATACTATATGATCTCACCCATAGGTGGAATCTAAGAAATGAAACAAATGAACACAGAGAAGAAAAGAGACAAACCAAAAAAACAGACTCCTAACTATAGACACCAAACAGAGGGTCACCAGAGGGGGAGGGGCGAAACAGGTGAAGGGGATGAAGAGCACACTCATCATGATGAGCACCAAGTCATGGAGAGAATTGCTGAATCAGTGTATGTTAGTCCTGATGATAATATAAGTGTACTGTTAACTATGCTGACATTAAAAGAAAATAAGCTTCTGCCCATTGGAATGTCACACCCATTATGAAATTATTCCCGACTTTGCAGTCCCCTTGTGGTGGTGGTTTTAAACCACTGTGTGCCCACAGGTTCCTCACTAACCCTCCCTTTCAGAGGGCATGCTTTGCTTTCCCATCCCTGGGTGTGAACTGGACTTGGTGACTCGATTCCAATAGACAGAATGGGCTAGAAGTGCAACTTCTGAGCCGGGTTAGGAGAGGCACCATGGTTTCTCCCCTGCTCTTTCTCTTGGTCACTCACTCTGGGGAGAGCAGCTGTTTGGAGCCACGAAGGACAGTGACCATTAAATGTCCAGTATTCAGGAAAGTGGGGAATGGAGGCCTTCTGTCAGCACCACGCAGGTGAATCATCTTGGAAGTGGATTAATCAAGTCTTCCAATGATGGCAGCCTCTGCCAACAGCTTGATTTCAAGACACCCTAAGCTGGAACCACCCGGCTAAGCCAGTCCTGATTTCCTGACCAACAGAATGTGAGATGATGTTTCCTCTTTTACGCCACTGTATTCTGGGGCTATTTGTTACTCAGTAATAGATAACTAACACACCACCGTACTTTACTCCAGTGAATTATAGTTACTGTGTTTTTCTATTACAGCCCTTCCTCCTCTCCCCAGCTGGGTAGTGAGCTCATAGGAAATGTGAATTACGACTCACTTGGTTATGTGCCCCCTGAAGTGACCAGCAAAGTACCATGCAAAAAGTAGGTGGTCAATGCATTTTTCCCTCCATGGTAATAGAATCATGTCACTTTTAAGAATGTGGGCTCTGGTATCAGGCATACATGTGTTCAGGACCCAGCTCTACCATTTGCTAACTGTGTGAATTTGGGAAAGTTCCTCACCTTTTCTAAGACTCCATTACTTTATCCATCAAGTGGGGATAACAACAAACACACCTCATAGTTTTGTTGTAAGTGTAGGAGTGGGGAGAACATGTAATCCCTTGCTCCTTCGGTGTCCAGAGATGGAGGAGGCTTCCACTCCCCTCTTGGGAAGCGACATTGGAAAAATGTTTCGAGGCCCCCTTGTCATCCCTGTCACTAGCCACTTCACACCACAGGAAGAACAGTGTTTAATAGAGGCTGATAGAACATGACACTGAATAGTGGACATTTAATGGTCTCTGTCCTGGGTGCTCCAGACTTTCTGTTTCCTCACCTTCATTAATATGTGAGCAGACATTAAAAGAGTACATTCTCTTTCTGTGACCTGATCCCATGCAGAAAATACAACTCAGTCATGCCCAAGAAACTGGCTTAGAAAGACAGACCTGGAAGGCCATGCTCATCACCCTATTTCTCCCTCTCTCTCTGTGCATCTTACTGCTGCCTGCCCAGGACACAAGGGCTCCCTTCTGCTAAACCCAACCTTCCCCACAGAGGGGGTAACATGGTCTCAATTTGGGGAAAATCACAGAAGAGCCCGCCATAGCCTACAATAGAGCTTAAAGAGTAAATAACATTGTATTATTTTTAAATTTTATTATGGAAATTTTCAAACACATACAAAAATAATCAGAATAGTATAATGAGACCCCCATCTCCCTCTCAACCCAACTTCAGCCATTTATGGCCGACCTCATTTCGATGTTGTGTTTTACTTCTCATCTGGCTCCTTGCATCTCAACTGTCTAAAAACTTGATTAGTAAGTAATTGGAGCTCTCAGACTTCTAACAAGGAGGATTAAATAAGAGAATGTATGTGAAGGTTGCCTCAAACATAATAAGCTTGCAAAACACATTAACAGTAACAATGACAATGAGCCATCAGCAGAACTGAGAGCAAGTTTGATCAAGATGACCAAGACTGGAATTACATGCTAGCCGATTATGTGAAGGCTTGTCAAGAGCTTATAATATGGAGGGCAGTAGAAACTCACTGGATGAGAAGCCAGGAGGGCTTAGTTACTGTCACATTCACTCCCAGACCTTTTCTTTTAAATCATGTCATTTCATTGTCACCTCAGCCACTTACCTCAAGCCTGAGTCGTTGGGATACCATGCCTATGTCAATGCTGACAAACACCACTCGATTTGACCCATCGGGCTCCGCCATGATGAAAGCACGGCTGTACAGCCTCGTCAGAATGCCCCGTGCATTCTGGCCAGTCTTACTGTAGCCCATCTAGGGAGGAAGAGAGAGAGAGTCAGAGCCCGTCTGCCTCACTCCCCTGCCACCAGAACCGGATACAACCACACAAGAAGAGACCACTTAGGAAAGGCGAGGTAAAACACAATCCACAGGACACTGTGGCTCTGTGTGGGATAATAATATGTGTTTTCAAGAAGCAAGCCAACATCAGGAAAGAGACTTTACTCTTCTGTGTGGAAAAATGCAGAGTAGCTCTCAGTTTGGCAGGAGCCATTCACAGGCCTATGGGCAAGGAAGGGGTTGGCTTGGCTCCGGAATTTTGTTACCATGTCACAGACCTTCGAGGGGTTTCTGTTCTTTTCTCCTGCCCGAGGTGCTACTGAAGGAAGTACTTCCCCTACCATCATCCCACATTCCCAGAACATCCTAAATACTGAAGGCTCCCTCCCTTTGGTTGTTTGGTGTGTAATGTTCTTTCTTTTCCTGAAGAAAATGAAAACTAACGATGTACTATATGGTGACTAACATAACATAACAAAACAAAATAGAATAAAATAAAATAAAATAAGAAAATGGTTTCTTTATGATTCAATAGTCTCTACTGAGGGCACCTCATGCTGGCTTTTACCTTGTTGACTGTCCCTCAGCTAAGTCAGGCCAAATGTACCTATCACAATCCCCCTTGTCACCTTGTCATAAAGCCTACCCATGAAGTCTTCAGAATGCCCCTTCTACTGCTTGCTTTACCCCTCATAGGAGTGTTCACTTAGGGTTCGCTTTCCAGAGCTACTTCTCAGAACAGACAGTAGGGAATAACTCCCAGACTCTAAAGATTATTTGGTAGGAAGGAGAAAATCTCATCAAACAACCTCACGTTCTAGCTTCCTAGAGAAGGGTGGATATGAATGAATACATCCACCATCACAACCAAGAAGTTGCATGCCCGCATCTAATAGGCCACACCGGACCCACAGAAGCCTTTTCCTTGGCTTACACAGTGTTGGCCCAGGCTAGTTTCCAGTTTTAACTAGAGTTGCCTATATTTTCCAACTGAGAGATTTAGAGCCTCAGATCTCTGATCCAGAGATTTTCCAGCTTCTCTTGAAAAAACTTTAAGATAGGGCAGCCCTACATGGCAATAATTGCTAAAGCCATGCACTTTCCAGTTATACCTCCCACTTCCCACTGTCCCCCAAACTGAGGATTCACTAGACACTTATCAGCTTACACTGGCCTGCTTCCATCATTTATGGTACCCTGTTGTCTGTGAGTTTGCCAGGCCTGCCACTTCCATTCATAAAAAATGGCCAATTGGCTTTACATAGGAGTTGCAGTTGAACACATGGTCCCTCTTTATAGTACAATAATCATAGTGTTAGACAGCAGTGAAATCAATGAAAAAGTGAGAAAAAGAAGAAGAAGGAGGAGGAGGAGAAGGAGAAAATGATGATGATGTAATAGTCAGGAATAAGTGTAGGATGCGAGTAATAACAATACTTGCTTCATTCTCTCCAAGGAGCCCATGATTTACCTACCAAGTTGATATCTGCTACTTGTCCTGTGCAGTCAGCTCGCCCAACACCAATATGGTAGCCACTAAAGTTCTGAAAGAGAGGAGGCTCTGGGGTGCTAATCACAGGAGGTGCCTGGGTGGTTGTAGAGCCACTGGTGATTGTCGAGCCTTGACTGGCTGTGGAGCTCTGGGTGGCCGGGGAGCTCTGGGTGGACGGAAAACTGGAATCTAAAAACAGAATAAAATATTTAAGGAACAACATTTCAGTCCACTTATTTGTTGGCATCAATTAGAACACACAGGTTCAGGTTCCTAAGGAAAAATCTTTATATATTCTCTTATATTTAAAATATATGGTAAAGGGGCACCTGGGTGGCTAAGTTGGTTAAGCATCTGCCTTCGGCTCAGGTCATGATCCCAGGGTCCTGGGATGGAGTCCGACATCATGTTTCCAGTTCAGTAGGGAATCTGCTTCTCCCTCTCCCTCTGCCCCTACCCCCACCCTGCTCATGCTCGCTCTCAAATAAATAAATAAAAAATTTTTTAAAATTAAATAAATAAATAAAATATATGGTAAGAAACATCTCAGGAACTTGTTGAATATAATAATCCTAAGGAGGATTTTTCTCTTGACTTAGAGATACTTCCACCTAATAATCAAGGTCTGCGTTAAACGTCCTTCAACGTCTCATCACAAGCCATTCCTTGTCAAACTCATGGCCCTGAACTCACTCCCCCTGCAGGTCTCCTCTAGCCAAACAAGCCAGGTTCCAGGTTTCCTGGCACACAGCCTACTAAATCTAGCCTCCAGGGATTTGTCTCCACCCTTCTCTCCATCCAGAGACCTTATTGCTCTCTGGTCCACCAACCAAGCTCCACAACTCCCTTCTGAGTTGGTTCATTTCCATCACACTCAGTGGCAGCTCAACCCTCACATCCAGGGATGCCACCCCCACTGTGTCTACACTGCCCCCTCTTCCCCAACCTTCTCAAATCTTTTATTCAGGATGCAAACTAGATCACTGTGTGCTCTACATAGTTCCACCTTATTTTACTCATATCACCATCTGCGTATGTGCGTGTACACACACATGTCCTATGTGATCACACACACACACACACACACACATACACAAGTATGAAGGGAGGCAGAATGGCATAGAGTCTACACGAGCAGGTACCAGAACCAAACAGCCTGGGTTTGAAAACTGACTCTACCCCCTACTAGCTGAACAAACCACTTACCCTGTTCTACCCCGATTATTCCCATCTATACAATGGAGGTAATAGTACTCTACTCCCTAGGGTTGTTTTGAACAATAAATATGTTCATACATATTAAAAATTTAGAATAATTGTCGGCATATAGCTTTGGTTCTATTTACATATTGAGATATCCTATATATGCTTGTTATTTGTTTGTTTGTTTCCACCCCAGACAACAGCCAGGGTTGCCCAGGTGACAGATGTCACTGTCACAGTTATTAGTGCTCAGACAGTACTTAGTCAAGAGATTGGCTGCTGACTCCCCTGGGATCCTAGAATTTGGGGGCCAAAGAAAAGCTAGAGATCACCTAGACTGATCTCGTCAGTTTTATATATAAGAAAACTGAAACCCAGAGAAATGATGTAACCACAATTTCGGGGACAACACGAGATGAACCAGGTGCATAGCCCAGATCCTCTGACTCAGAATCTGATGCTCTTTCATCCATATTCGACGTGTCATTAGAATCCATATTTTCTCAACCGTAAGCCTCCATTTTCTATAAGACATCAATTATTGCCAGGAAGGAGGCAGGCTCTTTTACCTTATTGATACCCACGTAGGAATGGGGTGCCAACTAAAGCCAAACCAGGTCCAATGGCCAAGGGTGATTTCTTTAGGACCTCAGAGTCGCAGGTTCTATATCCGGAAAATGGTACTAAGACTAGCACCTACCTTTATAGAAGCTTTATGAGAATTAAGAGGGAAAAGTATGTAGACCCTTGACCATAGCACTTGACACAAAGCAACCTCTCAACAAACAGCAACTCCTACTATGAGAATAGTTACCATAACTGTTGATCACCTCCCTGAGTCTCAGCCTCTGGATTCTCTAACTTTAAGAGCTAAAACTAAGGAAGTCCTATGGATCCTTTCCTTTCTAGCAGTCCATGCCCCTGCTCTGCACACTGCTGGCACAGAGGATCTCTGTCCCTCTTGAGGGAATTCAAAGCGCAGGGTCATGGTAGAGAATACATTGGAAAGAAGAGGCCCACAAGAGAGAAAACTGAGGTGAAAAAAATCGGGCTCCTTCTCTGTTTCATCTAAAGCCAGCCCTCTCTTTACTTCAGTCAAAGCCTTCAACCCCCACCTGTCTTCTCTACTTATTTACCAGTATATGACCCACCACCAAAGTAGGGCTCCATCAAAGACCCAGGGGGCCAATATTGCCTGTAATATAGCCTACATTGTTCTCCAAGACTAAATTTATTCCCAACATTAAAAAAAATATCAGGAGATGCCTAAATCATCCATTCCAGCTTCTCTTGAAAACCCTGGAGATCTGCATCCATGTGACACCATGACAACCCACACCCCTCAAGAGGGGCTGTGGACCCTGCTCCCCCCACCCAGACCACCTCCCCACTCCACCTCATTTACAGAACTTGAGTGGCCCTCTTAAGAATCTGAGTTCAATGCCCCCTTCTCTAAAGCTTTCCACAGACTAATTGATATTCAGTGGGTCTTTCATTCTCCTTTTGTCCCCAAGGGAAGATGATGCCTGAGAAAAGGCAAAGAGAAAGAGAGGAGACTTAGGGCAAATGTTCACATTCCTTGGCCTTGAAGAAATCTGAACTGGGCTTAGGTCAGTGGAAAAGTGAAAGATGAATAAGCGCATGTCAGAATGCCTGTCAACCGACTCTTTGTGGGCAAAGGTAAGCTTGATAAAAACTGCTATCGATGCAGAAAGGGCAATTAATGTAAAGGTTAGATGGCCATCCCAGGCAGCTTACGTATACGTTCAACTGTGCTGTTATCGGCATTATCAGCAGACACTGTTCTTTGCCTTGGCGTCCCCGGTGATCAAGAAATTTCCCACAGGCTAGGAAGAGCATCCAAGAGAGCCCCTGACAACTTGCCTTTGTGATTTTCAATGGTCCCACTGGTGATAAACAGGAGGCTGAGAAGGGCTACCGTGACAGCGGTCATCAATACTAGGATGAAGATCAGGAATGTCTCTAACGTGGAGAAGGTGCGTTTGGCCATCTCTCCTGAGGAAAAGCAGAAATGGAAGAGGTGGAAGAAGACAGAATCGCAAATTAAAACATATATGCTTTGAGCTTCCCAAGCCTAAGGTGTCTTGGTTCTTCCATACGAATAGACTATACCAGGGACAGCAAGTACAGAGCATACCTGCCACTGCTTCCCTATCCCAAGCCATGGCAGACAAGACCAATCAATTACAGCACTCTTTGGTGAGCTCACATGTGGTTTCCAAACCCTTCTTGGTAGACTAGCACAAATGATGGGTGGTGGCTTTTAGAATGAGCCACCACACATCATTTGGCATTAGCAAGGAAGCCAAAATCTATTTGTATTCCTTGGCTGCATCATACTGCTTTCATTTATGGTGATGATGTTATCTGTACACAGGTCGAGGTTGGAGCACTTCTGTCAATAGGGATGATTGTGCTTGGTTAAGACTGTCCTCTATGGCCATGGCCTAAGGAAAACTACCTTGTCTACAAGGAAGTGAAACACACAATTTTGGCCTTTAAACTCCATTTGCTAACCTCCAGTTAATACCTAATGAGAAAACAATATGGAAGAGGGGGTGGCATCTCTGGTCTCAAGCCAGGCATTAAGAAAATCTCCCTCTTCCATCATCAGAAGGATCCCACATATTTTGTAGACACTGTCAGAGGATGAGGACAAAGACAATGCCCCTGTGTTCTACAAAAGCAGAAAATATCCTTACAGATTCCTTTAGATATTTCAGGAGTAGGAGTCATCATCACTCAGAGAGACTATAGATGCTAAAAATCCACATAATGTACCAGGAGAAGGTATAACATGGTAGTTAAAAATTGGATTCTGCCTTCTGACTCCAGAGTCCAAATCTCATTTCTGCCACTTACTGGGCAACCTTGGGAAATCCTCCCCAACACTGAGCCTCAGTTTCCCTATCTATAAATAAGGATGTGATGATGATAATTTTAGTACCCATCTTATAGAGTTCTTATAAAAATGAGATGACAGTAATAATTCTTTCATCCCATAGAACACAGTAGGTGTTCAAAATGTTTGCATTTATCACTAGGTTGCAAAACAGCAGGCTCTGCTCCTCACTGTCCTCAAAGGGAGTTTATATGAAACAAGCATTAAAGAATTATTGGAATCACAGGTAGGAACTTCAGAGCCCATTTTCTTAACCCATACTTCAGGATGCCAGAACAATGAGACGGGATTAGAGTCCTAGGGCTTGCCTCCAAGATGGGTAATATGGGGCTCAGATGCTACTACCCCCAAGAGTTATAAATTGGCTACAAACAAGTGTGCTTAGCCTGGCCCAATTTTTTGTTTCAATTTGATTTAGTTGACAAGATAGAAGAGCTTACAGTTCATCTGTAAAAAGAGAGTCTCCATTTACAAATCTAAACCCTCAAGTTTTCTTTCAAAATATTTCATAAACCATGACAACACTGAGTCAGCATTCCTACATGCCAGGAGTCTGGTAGAACTTAGTAGTTGCTGTTCCTTTAGATGGGGCATGCATTCTCCACCCACCACAGACTCTTCCCGGTGGATCTTTTCCATCTAAGTTACTACCTGGTCTTTGCAGTTATTTTATTTTGCAATCCCCGGACCACAGTTTAAAAATCAGTCTAACAGCAAACACTTCAGAGATAGGGCTAAACTGGAAGGGGACAAAGAGACTGGCACATCTTCCCAAATTTCTTGGATATTAGCACACTTTCCTCATCCATTTATCACCATCATAATCGCTCTTACCGCTACCATCAAGGACAACTTCAAATTTAAAGCAAATTAGTTCCAATCTTGGTCCCAATATTCACTGTCAGCCCTCAGGAGTCAGGAAACACATCTAAGATATGCTTCTGAAATTTTGATGATCCAGCTGAGTTTACCAGTCCTGCACCAAGAGAACAACTAAACATGGCTGACCAACAGGCGGACCTCCCCACCCCAGAGCATCTACATACACACTGCATGTGTAAATGTGGCCACATGGTAGGAGCCTATGCAATGAATAGACATGCTTCAAAATCATACTGTTCTTCTTCTCTCTCTTTGTCTCTCTCTCTCTCTCTTTTGCTAGTTTTATTCTGTTGAATTGATTACCACAATCAACCTTTTACACGAGTCAATAATGGCACTTGACTAGACTGGACTAGAGCATGTCCAGCTCTAACTCAGATTCCAATGATGTACTTCATGGCTTTCACTGCTATGTTGCCAGAATTACTGCCAACATTATTACTATTCTTTTTTAACCAGCTAGCACTATTTATTTTTCACTGATGACTACAGTCTGAATTCAAATGTTGAAGCAAATGCCTAGTCTGCCTTCAGAATGCACCACGGAGAGCTGGGCTAATGGTTATAACTTAAAAGATTTGACACTTCCCACTGGTTCTCACTTCATCTGGCAAAATTCTGCAAGCTCAGTGATGAGGTTCTATGACACAATGGCAAGCCACTTGCCACATCTCTACCACACTGAGGTCTCTGTTTTTCAAGACTGTGAGAGTAAGAGGTAATAATTTTGCAAAGTGGGTTTCCAAAGCTAAGAAAATGGAGCGAAGCTTTTAGGATTTCATCAAGATCTCTAAGACAAAGGGATGATTCAAGATCCCTCCCTCCCTCTCCAAGAAAATACAAGTATTCTTACTTGATTTAAACAATCAAAAGAAATCCTGCATCCCAGTAAAGCAAATGACAGTCCAGAATCTCGTTCCTTTCACCTTTCACGTTGCTCAGCCAAGATTTCTCAGCACGTTCTGAAACCTACTGATGAAAGATGTTCACAGTCATGCCCTAGAGAGTAGAGTTCTCATTAGCATACCATTACGTATCATCTGTAATGGGCTTGGTGCAGGATGAGATTAAAGTGTATTGATAACAAGAGCCTTCTACGCAAACTCTCCCCTGGGACAGACTGATACTGAGGGAAAAGTTGCAGAAGATCTGCGGGGCTGAAGGTCATTGATTTCAGCCTTTACACACCTCTCCAGCACAACAAGTTCTGTGCAAGGTCTATAGCCTGGATCACCAAAAAAGAGCACCTGCTTTATTTGCCACTGGTCACTCAACCAGCAATCAAGAGGGACTGATGCTGCATGCTGGATATTAGTGCGGGCTATGGCTCACATTGAGCTATGTGTACACCAATTTCAGATGAGAAAAGTGATTTTAACTCTTAGGCTCTTGTGCATAAAAAGAATGCAAAGTTTTAGATGAACTAAGAATATGAATAATGCATATACAACAGGGCAAGAATGCTGTGCAACCATTAAATAATTTAATGACCTAAAAATTACTATATTAAATTAAGTTTAAAAGATATTATAATCCTGTTTTTTAAAGCAGACATTACTTATATATGTGTGGTCATGAAGACTATAAGAAATCACAGCAAAATATTAAGAAGTAATCTGGTGATAAGATTATGGGTGAGTTTTGTTTTCATCTTTTCAATCCTTGGTACTTTCTGAAAGAGCCATGCGTGTTTTTGTAATGGGAAAGATAAAATGTTTTACCTCCTCCTGAAGAATGTATACTGTATAACAGCATGAAGTTAAACAACGGCGCACAAGAGACAAAGAGAGGAAGAAATAGGCTCATTCACACCTTTTTTCCCTACTAAATCCAAGCTTTCCAGGAAGCATTTTGAAGAACACATAGGGCACTTCATTCCTTGCAGAGTTAAAAGAGACCAGCCCCCAAAGTCCAATGGAAATATTAGAGATATAAGTGCCTCCCAATACTGCATTTAGTAATGTGGCTTAGCTCCTTTCCTGCATCAGAGGGGGAAGCAGATTAAATTATGCTATTAAACCAGTTTGGGTTTTTGTGGGGGTTTTTTTGTATGCATTTATATTAGACTTCTTGGTATTAAGGAACAGAGGCCAAATCCAGCTAACTTAAGCAGTGGAGGAAAGAGAGAAAAGTAAATTCACTGGAAGGCAGCAAAAGAAGTTGAAGATGCAGGCTCTGGAAGGCCAGAGATCAGGGCAGATCTAGGGGGCAAGAGGGACTGCCATGGAGATGGATGCCCTCCAACTGCTTTAGGTCTTTCTGTCGTGCCACTCAGGATTCAGTTCCTGAGAGACAGCATCTGACTGGCCCAGCTCAGAGCATAGACATATCCCTTCCTTCGAGGAGATCCTTAAACAGACCTCTGAACAAGACCATCCCCAAAGAGGGAAGAGTAATTCTCCAGAATGAAATCAAGGCAGATAAAAACCACAGACACCCACTAGTGACTTGCCATCAGATTTCCGTCTCCTGCCCTTCTCCTTTACAGTGGGTCCCCAAACGCACCCACTGCCCCCTCCAGACCTCTCTACCACTTCCCTCCCCTAGAAAAGGAGCCCTGCCATGCTCATTCACACCAAGACTTAGGAGGCGACCACAGTCTATTCTGGTAAGATCATAAGTAGATCATATATCATTGCCCGCAGATAGCATTTGAAGGACCATCCCTAAATACCAAAGGGTGAGAATCAAGGGACTGTCAAGCACTGTGGCAGAGCCAGTGGAGAAGTGATGTTGGGCCAAGGGGGCCTGCAGTACCCATCGGAACAGCTGGCTCCTGTAGCTAGGAGTGAGACCACACAGGGGTGAGGGGAAGATAGAATTACTGCAAATAGTTGAACTTCTACATCTATTTGATTCTGTCTGAATGGCCCTCAGATAAATCTTGTTTGCCAGGATAAGGATGATTTTCCTACTCTACCCGCTACCCCAAGACATGTGCTCATACCCCACCCATTTTACAGATGAGGAAACACACACAGAAGGGTGATATGGCTTCTAGAACAGGAAAGGATGGTTAAAAGTGAGCGTGGTTGAGCAATACTTATTGCAGGATGTGAGACCAAGTCTCCAGATTCCTAGACAAGAGCTCTTGCCTCTCACCAAATTCTTCCTGTGCCGCCTTGACCAGGGCTCTGGCATCACAGCCTCTGGGGATAAGCAAGTGTCCAAGTGGTCCCTCCTCATTAGCAGATGATGAAGCAAATGATGT